CCGATGTGCTTTCTATTATGTTATTTGTCCATGGATTTTTTTGTTTTGTTCTCTAAAGGCAGTACGCCCTGTCATGCCACTTGGCGCCATGACTTATTAAGACTTCTCTTATCTGTTTTTTCCTACGCGACGTGAGTAATTATTGCCGTTCAGACATTTCAGTGAATGCAACTTATGGGGCAGTGCGTGTCCGTATGATTTGAGACAAAAGCTAGTCATTATCAGTTTAAATATGCGCGCTCGTTTTACACGTTTTCTGTGCCTCAATTAAAAGACAAAGTTCTACACGATACTCTGTTGTCATTTTGGTTTTAAAAGGGATTTTTCTGTTTTTGTTTTTGTTTTTGTTTTTTAAGCAAGCAAACATTTTCTTTTGTAGGTTTCGGTTTGGAAAACGAGTAGTCCTGTTTATTGCACGGCGATCCTCTTTTCAATGCATGGATTAGGACTAAGAAATAAAGACAATTAATTTTGTCCCCGTAATGTGAAAAAAATGTTTGTACGGTATTAAGTTACCTACAGACGCTCTGACTCTAGTTTGCAATCCCTCTACATGTAAACTGCAAATTAAAAATTCGCAGTTACTCCGACTCACGCCTTGGTCGGCGCGGTCTGAAGAATTTTGTAGCTTAATGTCTGGCAGTATTAGCTCCTGAATTACGCTTTAATTTATGACAAATTACGATTCAATGTGGTCTTTATGTATCAACTTTATTTATTTACTTATTTTTTCAACATGTATCAGCTTCATATTATTTGTTTACTCTACCCTCAACGGCAGTGGCATCGTAAGTCAGCCAAGCTACCCAAACAACACAAGCCAGCAAGTACGCACTATCAAACATGGAGACTGAAGACTTTGGACTTGACCTGGCCATCGAACAGTTTTGGAGTTTTGAATTTGTTATGAAAGGAGAAAATGGTTGTCTTTACACTAGGCTGTTAAGTAATACTCAAGACTGAGCAGCTAAGTTTTACTTAACAAAAAAATGCGTGTGTGAGAGCCTAAGTAAAATCTCAAGTAACTTTGCATCTTTTTAAAGTCGGAAAGTTGAAACGATTGAAGAAAGTATCAAGTGACTTGAAAACCCGTCCTTAAAACCGACTTAGCGAACTTGCGGTTTCTAAGCTTTGAGAAAGGCGAAGCATAGTCAATCAATCTTCATTATGTTGCGTGGGAAAATACGCTTAAGCAAGACTCAGTGAAGTAAAAAAGATAGGTTGTGTGTGAAGCGTTCTTTTACTTGAAGAATTTAAAATTTACTTGTCTTAAAATATTTCTTAGTTTATTTAGACTACCAATCGGGTAGTCTTTACACTAGACTACCAATGGTAGTCTTTACACTAGAGCCTAAATAAGCTAAGAAATATTTAAAGACAAGTAAACTTTAACTACTTCAAGTAAAATAATTTTCACACTCCACCGATTCTTTTTTACTTCAGGTTAACTCAAGGCTATTTTCCCACGCAGCATAATTAAGATTGATATACATGTTTCGCCTTTCTCACAGCTCAAGAAACCGCGAGTAACCGAAAGTCAGCTAAGTCGGTTTTAAGAATGGTTTTCAAGTCGCTTGAAACTTTCTTGAATCGTTTCAACTTTCCGGCTTTAATGAGATGCATGGTAAAGTTACCTGTGATTTTACTTAGGCCTTCAGACACTAATTTTTGGCTAAGTAGTAGATGACTCTTGTTGATTTCTTTTTGTGCAATGAGTATTATGGATTTTCGTATATTCTTAGCAGGTATCGTGAAAATTTGGTGTTGCAGTTTTCAACAAGATTTTTTTTTTGATCAGTGTGAATTAGTCTTTGTTATCACATTCAAAATTAATTTTCTGTTTTATGATAATGATAAATGACAAAAAGACGTTTTGCCCGCGTTTTATTATTTCTTCAACTATAGGGTTTGTCAGGCGATGAGGAACAAACAAATTCACCGCAAAGAACTTCCCATTTATGACAGTTTGGGCTAGTTTATATAGAAAGTTGGCGCGTGTAATGCAAGGATCGTATATAAACTGTGATGTGAAGAACTTAATGCAAGGGTTGCTTCTGTTGACTGCCGCGCTTCTTAGAGAAGAAAAACGTATATATATCCCTTTTTGCTTGTTTTCGGGACTTTTTTTACTAGTAACTCTTTTGTTGGTGTAAAGTCTGCGAAATATTCATTGCAGTTATTTGGTGAAAATGCGGTTCAACGGTTTGGCAACGTTTACACCTGCTATTTGTTTAGAACGTCCCCGAACAAACGCAAAATTTATAAATAGATATAGGCTGCAAATGTTAAAGCCAGTAATTAGCTACATTAGCGCATGGGATCTCTGTGACCCTAGAGCATAAAGTAGACTAAAACGAATTGGGTCAATTAGCATCTCAAAAGTCTACAGACAAAATTCACCTGCTGTTAACAGGAACGATAACTGTTTCGGTATAACACGAAATTCATGCGTGATATAATCACGACTAATGACATGACGTAACAATCGTTGATTAGTAAGATCATTACTACTAGTTGCGAAACTTGAGAGACACCAACGGGTACGTGAATATTATTCTTATTTACGGTTTGCTTTAACATTTCTTGACTGATTGTAGTTCCTGTTGATATCTCTACGTAGATTTCGAATTCTTTATATCTTCTGTATTTCTGTACATTTTGGACGAAATAAACCATGTGCAGTATTTGAAACCTTGGAGACTCGCAGCTAGCAGTACAATAACTACTTTGCTGCGTTTGTCAAAACAGACACAACAAACAACACTCACGTCACGATAACTTTTTAATAATTCAGTTGCGGGCGCTTTCTTCGATTCGTGTTCTGGGTTAGTAAAACAAACAAACTATAACGACAAAAGCTAAGCTAAGCTAAGAGGAGTCTAATCGAGAAATCCCTGAAACACACAATTCCATTCGAGTTACGCGCGTATCCCATCCACGTACATAAATTTATAATGGTAATAGGACTGAGTGGAGTCCAATTCGGTCTGTAATCATACGAGTGATTTACAAAATCCGACGATCGCGTAGCAGCACTACCGGGAGTCCGAATTGTTTAATCACGAATATGATTACAGACCGGAATTGAACAAAACGAAGTTCTGCTACCAGTCAATCGTAACTATAACAAAACTTGTGATGTTTTAGCCATCTTGAAAAAAAGAAAAAAAGAAAAAAAAAGCCATTTACGTGGGCGTGCGATGGCGCGCGTACCGTCCAATTTCTATACTAGGCTGTGGATAGAGCAGATAGAGGTGTCACTTGAATGGAGGTAACAGAACCAAAGATTAGGTGAACATATTATTTAGGGACCATATTTTGTATCCCCTGGATGGAGGAATCACGTGAGTTACCAGCTGGAGCCCATAACCCGGAGGGGTTATGGGCTCCTGGAGTTACCTAGAAAAAGTGTCCATACCCTGGATAGAGCAGAGAGAGGAGTCACTTGAATGGAGCCTCTCTCGGGAAAAATCGTTAGAGGAGACGTCTGTGAATCGTGGACGTTAATCGTGTTCCGGTATACATTTGCATAAATTAGTTTTTTGGTTCTTTCTCTGACAGTTGAAAAGGTGTTGACAGACCAGCACGACTCTGGCTCTTTTAGAGCACGTACGCAGGTATTCTCTCCGACGTTCCCAACCGTTGTAGCTAAGCTAGGCTTTAACTAGAATATCTAACTAAAATTGTCATTCACAACAAGCATTTTATGCTTTGGAAGATTCTAACACATTCTTCGGTCTTTTTTAGCTCATAAAGTCGGTCTGTTACCGCGCATCGATTTCCTGTAGTTTTTGGTTTGACCGAATTTTGATCTCGGAAACACTGTCTACATTTGAAGTCAAACGTTTTATGCGTTGATCCATTCGATGATTTCGAGTAGGTACACGTAAGGGATCGTTCAGTTCTCTTCAGCAGCCTGGTTGGCTCAGTTGGGAGAGCGCCGGTCTGCTGAGCGGGAGGTCACGGGTTCGAACCGCGGCTGAACCAACACTCAGGGTCTTTAAATAACTGAGAAGTAAGTGCTGCCTTTGTAATGACATCTGCAAACGGTTGGCTTTCTAGTCCGGATAACGAGGAAAAACCGTAGGTCCCGTCTCACCCGTCTCCCAGAGTAGGGGACGTAGACCCCGGTTTTGTGGTCAACCTTCACGCATCACATCATTCACATCATGGGCTGGGTGGGTTACAGTAAGCTCATAAATGGATTGAGGGTGGCTGCCAGTGGCGCCTTTGTAAGCTGACGTCCGAGCTTACTGTTCACATGTTCAAATGTATTGTAAGAGGGCACCTCTGTTGTCTTCTCATCCACGGATCTTCATTCACTATTTCAAATTAATAGCCTTACTTTTAGCTAATTCTATGAATCATGACTGACACATGTAGGTCGAAAAATAGCTCTTGCGTCTGTACACAGGCTAGCCGAACATCCTCAGGCAATGTTCACCCAAAAATCCAGATGCAACAATATAGGGCCCACTGGCATATGTAAGTGGCCCGATACAGTTTTTCAGGGTCAATATACCTACCAAGTTTGAGCTTATTAACTACGTCGCCATAAACAAACATTTGGAAAAATTGCCACCACAGTTGTATTATGCACCTATCAATGTTAAGCCCGAGGGGGGGGGACCCCGGGCATATGTGGGGCATTTGACCTCTTTTGCCTTCCCCACCCTCGGGAGTTTGACTTAGAATCAGGGCCCCAGGATGGGGACGTTTGCTTTTTTTTTGCGAGGAGGACTGGTAGCTAGTCACGTCTGTGCCGGCCATCTTGGAATTCACTGGAGCGCTGGCTGGAAAGCACGGCTGTTTTTGAGGTAAGCACTCGTTTCTGTAAACAAAAACACTGCTTCTCACTACTGGTTGTCAATATAAATTGATGGAACACCTTACTCTGTGGGGATTGTGTGGATTTTTGATAATGTCTCGCTTTCCGTCAGAGAATCAAGGCTTGGAATTCATTCATACATTCTAATGTTTTCTATCCATTGACTAGGACAATGCCTCTTTTAAAAATCTGCAGCGCGTGCAGAACACTCCGCTACAGCATTGTAGCGGAGTCAATGGTTGATTTAAAAAAGAAAGGTACGTGAAGCAGATATTTAATACAACTCTTGTACTACAGTGTTGAGTTTTTAATATTAAAACGAACTTTATAATAAATACTGCATAAGCTTACTGTTTTTAAACAAAGCACTACTCACTATTTTTTTGATATAAAAGATATATGATTACGTTTGTGCCTATATTGTTGATTGACATTTCCCCTTTTGCTTTTTTGTACATATAAATCTAAAATTTGATACTGTAGTTTATACAATTTCTAAGCTTGATGTGTAGTCTAGTGTGAGAATATGACTTATCCTTGTGCACTCTATGGTAATAAAATGGATGTTATTAGGAGCATATTGCAGTGGATTAAAACACGTGTGTGTTATACAGATTCTGTAGCATATTTTTTTGTGGAAAAAAAAATTAACAAATATGTTGTGCATCTTTATAAACCAAAATATAATGGTCAATTCGTTTTGTCTTTATAAACTAACAGGCAAGGAAAAGTTAAACGGAGACAGCATTGTTTTGGAAGAGGATGGGAGTGTGGTTGATGAGGATGACGTTGTGAAGGCTCTTGACAAGAACACAGTTCTGATGGTCTTAAAAGAAGACGAATCTTGGGCTCCTATTTCACAAGCAAGTGTTTCACAAAACATGGAAGAAAAAAAAGGAAGAAGGAACACAGAGAGAACATCGACCACAGATGGATGTATGCGTCTTGATAATTTCGGTGGCACTTTAAAACTACGGAAACCAACAGAAGAGGTATGACATTCATTAAAAACCTTTACCCCCCAAATGGTCATTTTTCATAAATTAAAAAAATATAAACAGGAAGTGGTGATAATATTAAGTATAGTTATGTAAAGAAGATATTACATATATTTCATTGTTTCTAATGTTTTCTTTCATTATGCTGAAGCAAAAATATTGGGATTGTATAACATGTATACAGATATATATGTGCTGTTGTAAGATGATGAAATTTCACTTCTTTTCTGCTCTTCCTCATATAGGACATGTTACAATTAGACCAACCCCAGAGTGAACTTGAAGAAAAAGCTAAGATATATGGCAAATCTGGAAGGAGCCTTACACCATATCAAGTTGCGGTTAATAATGCTGCCATTGTTTTAGCAAAGGAAAACCCTGATGTAGTGTTTGATAAGGGTAGGTGTAATTTTTGTATATATCACAGGCATGCAATTCTAAATATGAAACTCAAAACTTGTAGAGAGTACATTACTGTTTGTCTTGTAGTTGCATTATTGGTATAGTGGGATGGCAGTTTTTATCAACTGCAACATTTTTTCTTTCAAATATTATACAAGGAAGCTTATACTTACCCCCAAAGTTCACTTGGTCATCTTCTGTTAAAAGATTGGTCAGATAAATCAAAGTTGGCAAGTCCCAAATTAAATCTAGAGGGTTTTAGTGTATAGTGCTGGTATTACAATGGGTACTATTCCACACTAAGTTCTTTTTGTAAATGAGAAGTTCAAAACCATAATTTATAACCGGTGCTACCAATTTAAAAAATAGGGGCAAGTTTCCATTGTGCAGGAATGTGGGAATTATCTTACAGTCAAGTTTGGTGGTTTAACTTCCCTATTTAACCCTACAGGGAAGCTGCTTACAATGGCTAGGGATAAAGTTACCACCGATGGCTACCTATTTAAAAAAGGGCATTCAAGATCAAAACACATGTCAAGTGAATCTGACGAGCCTCCTTGTAAAAGAAAGAAAATTGACGCAGAAGAGAGGGCACGTGAAATAAAGCTGTTGCAAGATAATTTGGAGACATTAGACAGTCGCCTTCGCGTAAAGCAGCAGCTTTTGGATAAGGCGCGCTCCCTTCAGAATTACAAGCAGTGTGATGAAATACTTGGAGAAACGATAAAAGTAAGGAAGGAAAAGGCAACTATCCAGAATCAATTGCTAGAGTTGCAAAAACGAGAGAATAAGTCTTCATGGTACCACAAGAAAAAGCAGAAAAAACAACACAAGGAAACTAATGTGAAACAAACAGAGGGAAATCAGAAGCTTCCTTTCCTTTTCAGACGTATGAGCAGCACGTCCAGCGAGAGTGATACTAGCATCATTTCCACCTCAGAATCTACTACAGAATGTGAAAGTACAAGCCCCAGGAAAGAGTCTGATGATGCTGGTGATTGTACTGCCGAAGAACCCGCTGGTATTAGTAAGCAGGATTTTCAGGAAACCCCTCCACATCAGCAAAAAATGTGAGGGGGGTCAGAGAAGAACTTGTTGCTATTTATTATCGGGAACAAAAACGTGAGTTGTCGAAATGTGCGGCTGTTGGACAGGATATTTGTATTTCTGTATTTGAAGGGCTCTCTTTGGAGGAGTATGTTGATGTTCGTTCTTCAGTGTGCAGTACCACACACAAACAACCTTGTAAAAATTGTTGTGGTTTGCTTCAGGTTGCAAATGAAGTGCTACAGAAAGGTTTTTTGAAGTTAAGGTCAGCATTTGAAATGGCATATCCAGATGCAACTTACAAATCTTGGCATGCTCGAAGGAGGATGCTTCAAATGCCATTAGCAAGTCTAGGGATTGGAAATCGAAGCAGAGTTAGCTACTCCATCTTCTTAGTGGAAAAACAAGTTCGAGTGAAGTATCCAATAATGCAAACGCTCTTAAACCAGTGGATTAAATGTGAAACAGCGGAGCCATCGTTGCCGCTTACCAAAGAAACTATGAACAGTCTTCTTCAAATTGCAGAGTCTGATGCAGAGAGAAAACGCCTCAAGTATGCCGTTGTTAGGGCAACTGGTTTATCTAACACTAAGGCAAAAGAAAAGTATGGGTTTAGTGATATTGGCACCACTTTATCCCAAGTAGAGCAAACATTGGATGAAGTCTCAGCCATCCATGAAGCGATTGAGAAAATTGCTCAAGTAAAAGACAAAGTGTTGCTAAAATCACTAGCTGTTCCAATGGAGATGGAAGGTGAAAGTTCCGATGAAAGTGAAAGCGATGATGATGACGGCGCTGGTGCTGATGATGAAGATGGCCATGGGTGTGGCAATAATGATGGCGACAGTGATGGTGGGGGTAATGATGTTGATGGTGATTGTGGAGGTGGTGGTGAAGGTGATCATGCAATTTCCTCACAGGTTAGTAGTGGTGATGTTGAAAGTGCACAGAACCTGACCTGCACGCAGGTTGATGGTAGACATCAGTTCCAATTAACAGACGAACAATACAAGCATATCAGTGATACTGGCGAATGCTAAATGAACACCCACCAACTCCTTGACATCCTTCGCAAGTGCAACTTAAACTGGTTGGAGTTCGTCTGTGCATTAGAGGTGTTGATGCCAAATGCTGCAGAACATGTTCTTGAACAAGTGCTACTCGACTTTGCAGGGCAATTGCCCTTCCTTGACCTCAGTGAACATGATGAGCGCATTATAGAACAGTCCCGGCAGGTATACCTTGAGGAGAAAAGGCGCCAAGAAATGGAGAGTGAAATCGCTGATGGTATGATAGTGTCAGATTCCGATTCTGATTGCGCTGAAGAGTGGCAACGTGTACGTGATCCTCTTGATGAAGCTGGACTGGATATTATCAAGAAAAAGAGGGCAGCGATCCGAAGAAAAGCAACAAGGGAAGTTAAAAAGCGTGTTGCAGAAAGGCGTTATTTAAGAAGAAGGAAAAGCAAGAAAGTTGGGAGAATACAAAGGGAACACCCTGACATTGGCGAAACAATTGAACAATACGTTCAAAAGTGTGGTGTGGGTGCCGATGCTTGGAGGCGAACCGGTGTGTTGACATTTGATGGCAACAAGTGTGTTGGGAGGAAAGTTACGTTTAAAAGAATTCAGGAACATCTGCAAGCCAAATACAAATCTTCTTTTAGTTATGGAAGTGTTGTGCAGTTGTGTGTTGCCCGGAATAAACGTCGCAAGTCTGCTGCTAGATACAAAGGGTTGGCACAAGTCGTACAGAGACGTGCTAGAAAGGGGTTCACGCTAAAATACAATCCCGAGGCTCATTGGAGTTCTGCATTGTATGCCGGCTTCGATAAGCCGCAGTACACTAATGGAAACAACATCATGAACCTGGGCCGTGATGATCAGGCTGGCTTCAGGTTAGATTCAATGACCACCCATAAGCAGCATGGAACTCTGTGTTTGAAGAATGAAGTCCCACTGACCACTCGAACAGACTATGTGAATCGATATCCCTCTGTCTTGCAGACAACATCGTACAATTTTCCTGCGACCGACACAACAGAAGAAATATGCGCTGGCGTTGTTAAAGCCCAGCCGCTGCACTGCAAGAATCCTGCCCAGCACTTTGAAGACCTCCTGATGGTAGAAGACAAACCAGAAGTAAAGCCTGCGTTTCATAACCATCAAACAGGCAAATTGAAGGAAATTGAATGTGCCAGAGCTGATGGTGGAGCAGATGAGGGTCCCATACACAAGGAAGTGCAGTATTGGTGGACCAAGAGGCACCTACAGAAAGGACACAAGGCAACACTAATCTCAACCAGGAACAGTGGGGCGAGTTATCGAAACAGAGTCGAATTGCAGAATGGTTGCTTGGCGCTGGGTCACGCAAATCTCTTCATTCCATCAACTTTGTATGGATCCTGCCTTGAAAATGGCAAGGTCAACAGTGACATTCTCTGTAAAAATTTAAGTTCTGCTATCGATGTTTACTTGAGCCGAGTCAACCAAAGCCCATGTGCCGGAACGGTAATACACCTCTGGAAGGGTCCTGACAGCAAAGATACGCAAACTGAACGGGCTGCAGTGCTGACATATTTAAAGGGAAAGAAAAATGAAAAGGAGCAGTTAAGGAAGAGCCACCCAGATCTTTATAAGAGCATTCATGAAATTTGGACACTGAGGAATAGCCATATGGTACCAAATCTACCATCCCAGTATCTCTTCTACCTTAGATGCTGCTATAATCCTCAATGCATCCACCCAGTCTGCAAGACAACTCAGCTGGAAGACATACCATGGTTCCCTGGTGGCCCATCCATCTCTTTTCTGCCCATACCTACACCTGATCCTACCAGGCCGTTTGGAAATGATGCTTGCACTGAATGCAGTGGGTTTTGTGCTGGCCATTACATGAAACTGAACGAGCTTCTGGATTACGTTAACAGTGGCAACAATCTTCCAAAGGCGAAACCACCATCTGAGATTCTTCTAGAGGCTCACAAGAAATGGAAAGGGATCCCTGACAATTCTGCAGTACTAGCCATTGCAAAAGAAGCACTTCTTCCCCCCGAAGAAGTTCGTCTCTGGCTGAAGCATTTGGAGGATGTGGCATGCAATCGCAAGAGGGGGGCAAAGAAAGCAGCAGCCAAACGGCGAGAAAGTCAAACCAATTTGAGACAGAGAACTGACGCGTCAAATGTTTGCCATACATGCAACAGTGAAGAGCCACCACTTGCAGAAGACGACAATGATGAAGATGATGAGCAAATGATTGATTGGGTAGCTTGTAATTCCTGCGCTCAGTGGCACCATATTGCCTGTGTGGAGATTGAGAGCATTTCAAAGTGGACTTGTACCCCCTGCAAATAATCTAATCAGTTGTATAACTCAACATGATAGACTTTTCGTTTCTGTTAGATTGAGAATATGACATCTGATTGTATCATTCTAGATTCGCGTAGCTCAACAAGGCCCATTCAGTTATCGTATTAGATTGAGAAAAATAATGATATCTGATTGTATCATTCTAGATTCGTGTAGCTCAACAAGGTCCATTCAGTTTTTGTATTAGATTGAGAAAATGATATCTGATTGTATCACTTGAAATGCTAGATTCGTATTTTCTACATGGTACATTCTTTTCCGTATTAGATTGAGAAAATATCTGATTGTATGACTTGAAATGCTAGATTTGTAAAGCTCAACATGGTATACAGCTCGCGTTGTTCCTGTAAGATTGAGACAATTATATTTGATTTTTTCACGTGAAATGCTAGATTTGTTGATTATTTTCCTCGGATTACACAAAGCATCAAGGGAGTTTAAAATATAAAAAAAAAGCTTGGCAATTTATATCAATTATTTGTAAAATATACACAACAACTACTATGAACTTTAGGGATATTACTTCCCTAAGGTGGGGATATTTGATCTTATTTGACCCAGTTTTGGGGCCCCACGGTGGGGACTTTGACCAAAAAATCTTCTGAAAAGTCAAATGCCCCACATATGCCCGGGGTCCCCCCCCCCTCGGGCTTAACATTGATAGGTGCATTAGATAAAGATGAAAATTTGTGATGATTAGGATTGCAATGGCATCAGAGTTGTCATAGCAACGAAATGACGCCATTACCTATTATACTTGCAGCAATATTTCTCACTGGGAACTGTTCTTACAAAATCGTTCACGGAATCTGTAAGAGCGTTATCGAGACATTTTGGGATGAAGTTTTTATCGTTAGAAATACGGTAAAAAAAGGAAATTCTCGGTTGTTATCTGAAGAAAACCAAAGGCTTTTGACATGCAATCTCACCTTAAAAGTCTCCATCTTTTTAAAAACGTGTGTGAAAGATCATGGAGATAGCTCTGGCCAGTTGCACAAAGAAGGATTTGATTAGAATGTATCATGGCGCTCCTGTTAGCGGTTTTGTAAGCATTTCGGTCTGCTTTAACAAATTTGTGAATAATTTTTAAGCCGCCCGATAGATTTTAAAAAAAAATTGAGATTCTTCTTATAACTCAAACTGAGAATCAGTCAGCCACTTGTTCACTTTCAGACCCATTGCTGATGCTATCTGCCATGCACTGTTCTACGAGCGGAGATGATTCTAGAAAGTTATGCGAAAGTTTATTCTAATCAATTCGGGACTGGAAATATCCCATTCCAGCTAGTGCAGTGCAGTACAGTGCCCGATAATGAAAAAAAAAAAAATCAGCATATGATACCCTTCCCTTATAACCAGAAACTCATCACGTCCTAGGCAACCACTGTCTCGTGTGAATATAACTGTTTTATTACCCTGACTTCAGGTTAAAATAGAAACTATTTATCTCTTAAAAGTAATAATAATAATAATAATAATAGTAAAAAAACATACTTTATTAAACTCTTCAGTATAATTATAGTTAAAAATGACGTCTTGGTGGTCTGGTGGTTTTCAACAGAGCAAATGCAAACATTTGTCTATAAACAAAAAAAAAAACAATTTCTATGTTCATCCCAAAAATAAAGTATCTATAGCTGTTGAGTCTGGGGAAGTCTTGCTTGACCCTTCTCTATTTCTAGATCCCTGTCCTTAACATCTAAGATCCTCCCTCTCGGGGTTCTCGATCCCCTTAGGTATAGGAGCGCGCTCTGCAAAATTACAAAGGACACTTTCGCCCTGACCCATGAAATTTTTGTGGCGTAGCTCTCTTGCTTTTTTGCAGATAATATATAGCTCGGCTAATCTTGAGTGGTATCTCAGGCATTCGTCAGCCATCTCTCCCGTAGTTGTGAATACCAGTGGGGTGAATGTGCCTTACTCTATTATTGTGACGCGAGAGTTGTATTTAATTCGCTTCATTTCATTTTCGTGAATCCTGTAGATTTGCTTGGGGCTAAGATCTCTATACGAGTCCGCATTGGGATGACACACCCTTATATCGAAAAACGCAGCCCTCTGTCACCCAGAAGCCCCTACAGTGGACGTCAAGGCGTGCATCAGGGGCTTGATTAGTCCCTCTGGCACGCTCTTTGCCTGTAATAGGTTGTAATGCCGCTTCAACTTGGATATCGTAACAAACCATAAATCAGCGGCTAGGCCTGTAGATCGCGTATTTCATTGTGGCGCTGAACAACTAAGCCTCCACGTAGGCAGATCATGTTTACAGTAGATCACGCGATGGCATCGCGTGATCTACTGTAAACATGCTCTTACAAACGCATATTGACGGATTATCGGGTAATAATAATAATAATAATAATAATAATAATAATAGTAATAATAATAAACATGGAAATGGCTTTGCCTAAATTTTCTCTTACTACCCAAAAAATCTGAGTGCCCAAAATTTGGAAGGGGGGGGGAGCTGCAGCCCCCCCCGGCCCGTACGCCTATCACCTTTCTCTTTTCCAAACCCCCACCCCCTTGCACTACCAGACAATAAATTGCCCGAGGTATATATTTTCATACGCGCGCTCAACGATCTCTGAAGAGAAAATAGAGGGTCAGTGTAATATATTACCCAGATCTCCTGTCTACAAGAAATCTGGTCGCAAGATTAGGGTCTCTGCGCAGGCTAACAAAGGCTGCACATGTTTGACTCCCTGTGTATTTACATGAGTGAAGACGGCAATCGAAAGAGCTGTCGTTTTTTAGTTGCCCCTATCATTTGACATATTTTCTATTGCATTCATTAACAGTATTATCGTTCGTTGAAGTGGCAACATTTGCATGCAAGGTGTCCATTTACTCCCAAGGGGGTACTCCATTATAATGGCTTGTAAGGGGGAGGTTTCACTTGAACGGGGTACTTTTTACAGGCTTCAGGTATACGATAGCATGTTCACAGACGGCTCTATTTTCTCTTCAAAGTCAGTCGAGCGCGTGACAAAAAGTAAAAAACCGCGGAGGATTTATTGACCGCCAGCGGAGTCCTGTCGCCAGTGCAAGGAGGTAAGGGTAGGGGAAGAAGAAAATAGACGTTCTTTATTTTTCTCTCTCGCGCTCCGCGCTCGTTCTCGCGCGCTCGCTTCGCTCGTCGATGTTTTTGAAAAAAACGAAGAGAAAAATAAAACAACGTCTATTTACAGGCTAATGGGGGAGAGGCTTGATAAATTCAACCTCTTTTTTCCCCAAAGATGTCTACAGACGTTCTTTATTATTATTTTTTTTTTCTCACGCTCCACGCTCGCCGATGTTTCGAAAAGAGCGAAGAGAAAAATGAAACAACGGCTGTGTACAGGCGAGGTATACGAAAGGATATAGTCTGCTACACAGCCGTTTAAGTGTCCTCACGCAACATTCCTCCCCACAAAAGGAGATTTGCATAACGCACAAAAAACGGCTTTATAGCAGACTATAAAGAATAGAGTTTTCCACTAGTTTTTAAAAGTAATAACAATACAGTATACAAAAGGGTAGGGAATTCTGTCTTATCGGTCTCTAAAAGCCCCAAAAGGGATAACGGATGCACTTTATGGCTGTGAAACAGACGAGAATACGTTCTGGTTTTGTGGTTTATTCGTGTATTACAGACAGTGCATTTACAGCAGCAGGTCTTAACTATATATTTCTATATAATCCTCGAAACAAGATAATATGTGCATGGACGGATAACTTAAGGGATTCCTGTGCATCCTAACAGTCAACAAGCTGCATAACGCAGATACCATACTAATTAGGGACATTATCCTCGATGTTTCCTTAGTTACATTTAAGTTAGCAGCAGCTAACCCAAGCTTGTCTGTCAAGTACCACGGTGCCTATGCTGTGCCATAGCACTTAAATTTTCCCAGAGTGTGGCCAAATTCCTTATGACCAGTATCACCAAACCTGAGCTGTGTTACTGGAAGCTTTTTCTTTTCAGCGAGAAGACCGCTGTCTTCACGCCATACTCTGTCATTCTTATCACAGTTACAGCCATAACTGGGGACTGCACATGAGTTGTTCATCCCGCATGCGCACTTACCACTGCCAGGTGATGCTCCACCTCAGTACGTCATGTTAATGGAATCACGTGACACCCACCAAGCAAATATTCTGCCTTTGAACATCTTCGATCTAAAACAGTCATACTTTATAAACTGCTCACAGTGTGAGGAGATTCTGGTGAGATTGGCCAACTGAGACAGACTCGCTCCTTTGTAATGAATGACACGTGAGTAGCTACCCGGGTTTTCAAATCCTTCCACATGAGTCCTGTTTTCACTGTCGTGACCGATCACTGGCACACCAATTCCATTCTTGTCAGTCCTGTCACAGAACGCCGAGAATGGCGCCAGATCTCCTTCGCCATCTGGATCAATGTCGTAATATCCACTTTTTGCTGTAGGTTCGCCGTTCTTTAAGTAAGTGCATGATAAAGCAACTGTAGAAAGAGGGTGTGAATGGGGTTAACCGACTACCGAAAGGAAAAATATTAACCGACTACCGACATGGGCTGACATTATCAATATTTGTTTTCAGAAATAAAAGAGCATTTTGCATTTGTTTCTAACCGTTAGGAAGTACAACCTCTGTAAATTTATGACTGATTAGATGGTCTAACAGAAAGAACTTCCTCTTTTGTTGATATGGGTACATTACTTTTTTTTTTTTTTTTTTTTTTTTTATTATTATTATTATTTTATTTCCACAACAAGTATTGACATACATTGTAGTAGTACATATAGTAATATTAAAATCACAAAAAAGTCATACAAGATATTTGATTTCAAGTCAAGGGATTCTACATTTTACAAAGCAATTAAAAAACGTGGACATGTTTCGAGTATGCAACTAATTTGTATGACTAAACAAAAAAACAAATATTGTCACAAAAACAGAAAGGTACGAGACTAAAATAAACAAATAAATAAATAAATCAAGCAAAAAGTATATACATA